TGAGAGGATGTGTATATCCTCTTTTATTAATGTTTGCAGCTGTTTTTTTCTTACTCTTTCTTACTTGACTACTGCTACTAACACCATCAGTTGATTTTTGTCTTTTTAGTGATGGCTCTGGAAACACAACAGAATTTATATTCTGTAGATCATCATTTTCATCGCTCATTTCATCATTAAGATAAGTGAAGTGTTCTTTGTCACAATCATCAATAACATTTATCCCTTCTTCATCGAGATTAAGTCCAATGGCCGATGATTATTCTTGATTTGCTGCACGTGCTCTTTCTCCTGTGGCAACAACATCAGCAAACAGTGCATCGTAGCGAAACCATATGAGCGAAAGATCTTTGTTCCTAAATTTCTTATATTTTCAATTCTCCTGTAAAGAGAAAATCAAAACTACTTAATCAAACTGATAAATTAACAATGAAAAAAATAAGAATTACACATATAATAATGTGAAAGATGTACCTTAATTTTCGGTCCACCAATCATCATCTGCCATAATCGTATTTTCGTGGCATCCCATCCTAAACCTCGTCTCCCCTCTCATCAATTGCTTAAAAGTGTCCATTCGCCTTTCATGTAATCCCAATGGTTTTTCATTTTTTTTATCATAGTCTTTTCCCGTCTTCTTACAGAACTCGTTAACAAGACTTTTCCACCCATCTTTATTTAAATAAGTGTTTGGTCTATTTTCCTTTCTAACCTCTTGCTCACACAACTCAATAAATATAATATGTGTATCGTCGTCCCACTTAGCATTGTCCGACATAATTGAATGTAAATAATCTGAAGAAAGTAGAGCAACTAAGAAGCTAAGACTGAAGTTGCATAAAGAGAGCCTAAAAGAGCCTGGTGTTTGACAGAAAGAATGCCTTTAAAGCTTATTTTAAGTTAAAACCTCCGTACAGAAACACAAATAAAGAAGGTCAATTATGGTAATTTGATGCATAAAAGTAGTCTAATAGATTCAGAGGATTCATAATTTCATATAACCAACCACAACTAGCTTTTTGAATTGCAATGCAGTTGATATATATATATACACACACATATTGATATACCTGCCTCACAAAATTTAATTTCTTCCTACAGGTAGGTGCATCTCCAATGCTATAAAAGAGTTAGAGCATGCTGGTTGGTTTCCCTCATTGTTTTTAAATACCTTTTCTAATAGCTGAACATATTTCTTTTGCTCACTAAATGCTTAGCATGTAAGCTAATTCTTTATTTTCTTCCTGGATCGCATTCTTAAAGAAAGCTTACTAGGAAGAGTTTGACTTACTAGACTTTGAATCCAAATTAGTTGAATAGTTTTTCCTCTCATAGTGTCATTAAATCCTTAGGAAAAGAAACTTATAAGCTTACTCAAATGTCCTCTTATTCTCTTCCAAACTGAAGTGTCTCTCATTAATTGCTAAGGGAATGGTAGTTGTCTTCTTACACTATTTTAGACAATTCTCGTCTTATAAATTAGGTCTTGAAATTAGTTAGAACCAATGCTCATTTTCTTTTGACTCACATAAACCTAAATTTCTCAACTTCAAAAGCAAACACAAAGAGAAGAAGGGTAGCAAAAGAACAAAAACTTATGGAAATGCCAAGTTTCCATACATGGTTCACGAGATTTGGATAGATTAGAGATAGGCTTGCAAAAGCTATTTCCAATTTCCCACCACCTATCGGTGAAGACAAGTTCGATCTGGTGCATATATATCACACATATAGTGAAGATGATAAATCACACAAAAGCTTCTACTTTCACTTTCATGGTCTATTTTGGATACTTTGGATGTTTTCTCGTCTATACAGTAAATTGACCTCCAAGCTCTTTGATTTCTGCCACTTTTATTTGATTTCTTTTACTTATTTTACTCACAGATTCAGGTCAAAACCCAAGGAAAAGCCAAATAAAAAGGGGTTCTCCATTAAAATTAATCCAAAACTTTGAAAACACTCTAGGAATTGACATTCAACAGGAAGATTAAACTTACTGGACTGAAGAGGCTTTCAAATTGGAGCTGAAGTTGGGGAGAGTCCGCAACAAGAAGAGGAAGAAGAACGCAAGTCTTAGGAAGAAGAAGGAGTCTGCAACAAGAAGGGAGAAAAGAAAGATATCGTGTGTTTTAGGGTTTTTTTACTGAAGGGTAATTTCGGAATTAAGAAAAGTTGTGAGGGATAATAATGTAAAATACTTGGTCAAAGTAAGGTGGCTTTTAAGCCAATTTGAAAAAAGTTGGGTTTACCCAACTTGTTGCTTTTTGCTTTTTTAAGCAGATTTTAGCTTTTTTTAAGCTCTTTTTTTAGTTGCCAAACACTACTAAAAGTTAAAAAGTGCTTAAAAGCTGGTAGCCCATCCAAACAGGCTCATGTTTAAGTGACCCTTTCCAATGCGTTGGCGAGGCGAAGGAGATGACTTTAAGTGGTGTATTTCGACACAATTTTCTCGAAATATTTTTATTATATATATACCTACTAATTTTCATGTGTTAACCTTCCAATGTCCTAATTTTTTTAATCCAAAATCTTCATTCTTACAATAAAAATAATTGCTAGTTGTTCTAGCTCACATATATGAAACAAACCAACTAGAATATAAAATTTTAGTTGAATATATTTTTAGTAAGGTCTCTAAGTTGACATTGCATTTCCTTTCAGTTAACCTTCTGTGTTTATGTAAATACAAAGTTAGTTCTATACTTACTAGTGAAAGCATTTCAAGTTGCGTTGACCATGTTAATAGAGCTCATATTCTATGATTTGGTATTCCAAAAACCATGGTTATAAGACTTCAATTAAAAGATGGAAAATAGTAAGATCAAAATACTTCCTTTTGACACACCAATAATGTTTTGGCCAAATGCATAAGCAATCCTTTAAACTTGTCCAATTATTTTATTTAGACACATTCTTAACACGGTACTCAATTCGCTCAAAGAGAGTAGAAGCAAAATGTATCTAATTGATATATTTTGGAGGAGTTTAGGTGTTCAATATGTACTAGCTTAACTTTAAGTGTCTAAATAAAATAATCGAACAAGCTTAGGGGGACGTGTATGTATTTGGTCTAAGCTCTTTGTTGAATGCGCAATGATAATTTCACTCGAGCTCAACAAAGAAATCCTGACTCCATCGTGATGGTCGCAGGTTCCAAAATTTTCAAAGCAATCAGTGCAAATAAATATATTCCATTACACAGATACCGGTTCAATTTTTTTTGGAATCATGATAATTATCTACCTAAGTTACCTTTTTATAATTGAAAACTCAATAATTATCCATTCTTAAATCCCAATCATGATTTAAAAGAATGCAATATCTTCAATAGGGATAAAACTATCAAAGTATATTTTCATCATCTTCTCTACCATCTCGCTTTAAAATTTTTAAAAACTATAATTAATCATTCTTAAATCCTAATCATGTTTTAGGAGAATGCATTGCATCTGCTAATTCGGGATAAAAACCTCAAAGTATATTGTCATCCACTTTTTACTACGTAGCAGCACATACTAGGGTGAAATAATCATGAAGGGAAATATAGCTTTTGCTATAAATAAAAATAAAACAT